TATCTAAGCTCAGAATTGATTGGTAATATGGTTAATTCTGTTTAGCCTTTTAAGGAACTGCACAACTTTTTAAACAATTGCTGTACTCTGTCCATACCTACCACCAATTCATGAGGATTCTCATTTCTCTTTGTTGTCACCAATATTTGCAATCAGCTGTTTTTTTAATAGTAGTTGTTCCAATTGCTATAAAGTGTTACCTCATTGTGATTTTCCTTTGCTCTTCCCTAATCAGTGATGTTAGGGAGCTGCGATGAGCTAGTGACAAAAAGCTGAGCTGCAATTCCAAAGGCAGGTGGCACGAATCCACTAGTTACTCCTCAGGAGAAGAATGAGAAATCTCCTGTGTGATTTACAGCCTCTGAAAACTCACTAGAGGGTCAGCTATTGTCAGTTCCAACTGGATAGCACATGAGAACAGCAGTAATCAGTGATGTTGAGCATCTTTTCATATGCTTCTTGGCCATTTGTATATCTTGTTAAATATCTACAGTCTTACCTATCAATTGGATTGTGTTTTTTTTCGTAAGAGTTCTTTATACATTGTATATAGTTATTGTTGTTTGCCATGGAGTCAGAATTGACTCACTCACTCTCTCTCTCTCTCTCTCTCTCTCTCTCTCTCTCTCTCTCTCTCTCTCTCTCTCTCTTCTGTAGGTTCTCTTGTCACTTTGTTGATGAAATTCTCTGATACTAAAACTTTTTCATTTTGACGATATCTCATTTATCTGTTTTGTGTGACATGGTACTGGAGGTTGTAGTGTAAGTAGGCATTTAATCTTGTCCCTAATCTTAGGAGGAAAATTCAGTCTTTTCCCATTGATAATGATGTTAGATGTGGGTGCTTTCCATAAATACCCTTTATATTGAGGAATTTCCCTTCTATTCCTAGTTTTCTAAGTACCATTTACATTTTTTGAGTATAGGGTAGATATATATGTAAACAATTAGGTTTTTTGCTAATTTGTCCAAGTACTTTTATGTTGTTGTTGTTGTTATGTGCCGTCGAGTCGTTTGCAACTCATAGCGACCATAGGCATAACAGCCCTAAACCCTGCTTTATCCTGCACCAACCGCACTGCCTCTGACACACCCATCCCGATTACACCAGTCACAGAATCAATCCATCTCAGAGAGGGTCTTTCCCCTCCTGCACTGTCCCTCCACCCTCCCAAGCATGATGTCCCTCTCCAAGGACCCGTCCCTCCTGGCAACATGTCCAAAGTATGTCAGACG